ATATTATTGTACAATTTAACACATAAATAACACATCACCACTCATCTTACATCTAACAGCTCCGTTCTCTCTCTTCCCTTCTATTTCTCTCCTCTCCTACATATTTATTTTCTCTTCTCTTTTTCATTTTAGCTTTGCTTTTTTTATTTAATTTTCCTTCCTTCAACCCCAGCCTCAGCCCAAATCTCTGCCCTGGCGGCGCCTGCTTCTCCCCTTCCTCGCGTTACATACTAATCTTAAATCTTTCTCTGTCTTTCTTTCTTTAAAAGTTTCGATCTGATAAAGAAGGATCTTTTTATTTTTTTGGGATTTGGATAATATTATGAAAGAGCCCGCCATGGTAGCGGCTACGCAACAACAACAACAACAACAACTGCAGCAGCAACAGCAACAACAGCAACAGGCGGCGGCGGCGGCGGGGGCTACAAAAACATCGGCGGAGGAAGAGGCTTTGAAGAGGAACACCGATTGCGTTTACTTTCTTGCTTCTCCTTTAACCTGCAAAAAGGTTCGTTTTTTCTTCTTCTTAGGGTTTTAGAGTTTCAACAAGATCTTGTTCCTCCGGGGATCTTGCTTTGATACTTTAATTAGGGTTTCAGATTTAACCTTTCGCTTTCCTCTTTTTAATGGCTCTTTGTTTAGTTGTTTAGTTATTTGAATGAAAAAAGTTAATATTAATTGGAAGAGTAAATTTTTTTTTTAGGAGCAGTTCAATGGCTAGATCTTGGTAGTTTTATCTTTAGTCTTTTAGTGGTAAAACCCTAGTCAATCTTTCTCTTGATGTTCCATTTAGATATAGAAAAAAACGATTGCTTTTGCTCAGAAAGGTTTGCTGTCAAATGTGTATTTATTTGCAGAACTATTGTTGGTCTTGAGACATTGATGTTGTAGCAGGTTGTGTATGATCTGACCCTGTTACAACTTTAAGGTATTGATGTAAAAGACGGGAAAAGAACTTAAAAGGATATCAATATATACACTAGGCAACACGGATGTTCCTTTCAAAAGATTCATTTTAAATGTAGAAAAATAGTATCAGTAGAATTTGGTGTTTCCATTGCTTTGCAATCTATGGTGCCATGTTTGAGATTATGTTTGGTTGCATCATATCTGTTACCTTCATTTCAATGGCTGCAGCTTTTGTCTTCCTATTGCAGTTTCACTTTTAAATACTATTTCTTGTTTGTTTCCGTTGATTTTGAATTCCTTTATTAGAAATTGGTTTTGTGAAGTTGCCGTATACAACAGTTGACGGTTAATACAGAAAGGAAGAAGTATCCTTGTTAACTATTCTTTATGAAGCATTTTTGCATCGTGTGGTTTACAAGAACCAATTTGTTTCTAACGGCATGGAGTCATGTTATGATTTGTTCATGCATTCAAAGATGCAGTGGGCATATCTGATTTACTGAAATGCGGTTTTTGTTCATTAATGGTCATTGGATTTTGTAACTAAAATTTCGTTTCTTTTTTCCATGTCTATAGGGAAGTGAATGTGAGTATCGTCATAGCGAATATGCCCGGGTTAATCCAAGGGATTGTTATTTCTGGTTGAATGGTAATTGCTTGAACCCGAAATGTGGATTTCGGCACCCTGTAAGTTTCTTCTCTTCTCTTGCACCAACAATATAATAAATGTGCTATGCTAGTCTTGCAATTTCTTTTAGGGAGTTTTATTTTGAGCCCATTGCAAGTTTTGAAAGTGAAGTTTGACAAATTGTGGACAATCAAATTAAAATACTTGCGAAGAATTTTTGTGCATGCTCTTGGTAACATATATTGTAGTAATTTACTTGTGTTATTCGGATTGTGTCTTTCAGCCCCTTGATGGCTTGTTGGGAACGCAAGTAGCAGCTCCAGCTGGTTCTTCCATTTCTTCATCACAGATAGCAGCAACACCAACACCTGCTGCTCATACGCTTTACAACCAGGGTGCTTCTTACAATTCCAGTAAACAAGCAGTGCCATGTATTTTCTTCCAAAAGGGGCTTTGCTTAAAAGGTGATAGATGTGCTTTTTTGCATGGTTCAACTACAAATAATAAAGCCTCACAGCCAGCGGCGGCTACTCCTGCTACTGAGCCTCATTCTTTGAAGAAGGCTTTCGGTGCCCTTGAAACGTCTCAGCTGCAGAAGTTTCCCCCAAGTAATGTCTCAAAGACGGTTGGAGCATCTCTTGAAGGTAAACCTGCTCTGAAAGTTGAAACTGTTTCTGCTAGAGCTGGTGCTGGAATTGAGAGAAGCGTGCCACGTCCAGCAGGCTCAGATGAGGAACTTCCTCGACACAAAGGAGCGAATATTACTCAAGTTGTTAATGGTGGCTCTGTGAGTCGTTCCAATCGCTTGCATCAGGCCCATGCACCAGTTGAACAGACTTTTCATGCTGGTAAGGACACTGATGAATTTTTGAGGGAGTCTTCTCCTGGTTTTGATGTTCTTGTGGATGATGAGCTTAGAGATTCTGATTTCTACCACGGTGAAGATCAATATGGAGGTACGGGAGGACATGAGGGAAGGAATGTGAGTGAATATGACATCGGCCGCTCTGCTAATTATGATGCCATGGCTGATGTTGACCGAGAAATGTTTCGTGATGCACGAGGCTATGATTCATTTGACCATGTGCAAGGGTATTATGGTTGGGACCAACAGAGGGCTTCATCTGAGAGGATATCTCTGGGACCATCTACTCTGGAAAGAAGGGGTTACTCTATAGCTGATAGTCCTGATCACGTTGAGGAGTCAGATCTAAGATATCGTTTATCTAAGCATAGGAGGTTTAATGGCCTGAGGTCTGTTGTCAGTCATGATCATGCCTTAGAAAACCATGAAGAGGAGCAAAATTACCGGGCTTCTCTTAGAGACTCTCACCATCTACCTGCCCATGAGAGTTCCCTTAGTAGTCGTCTTCGGGGTAGAATAAAGCTTCCAGGGAGATCTCTCGTCAATGGGACTGATTTGCGTTCTGAAAGAGAGATAGAACGGGGACGAAATTGGGGCCAACTCTCACCGGGAAAGCCACAAACCTCTTCCCACCAGGGCAGGCTCCGTGACAGAATAAAAGGAAGGGTGGAAGGGGAATACAACAATAAAGAAGGTCGAAATTTTAGGGGTCCGAGGATTAAAAGAGATATAATGGATGAGAGCAATGCTAATTTTGCTGGTCCAAAAAGTCTTGCTGAGCTGAAAGTTGGGAAGAATACTGAGAATAAGGAACAGCAGTCTCTTGGAAAGCGAAAGAACATTGAGGAATATCAACAAACTGAAGGTGATCTTTCTTTTGAAGGGCCAATGCCTTTGAGCGAGATTCTGAAGAGAAAAAGACAATCTGGAGCTGCAGCTTATGGGAGTGGTATAGCACCTGTAAATAAAGAAGACATTAACCAGAAACAAAGCAAGGAAAGCTTGATTGGTAGCTCCACTAACACAGTAGTATTGCCAACACTGGAAGAGGCCAACAAGAAGGAAGAATCCAAGTCCGGAATTGCGGAGAGTGGAACAACGGAAATTGTGCATGGTGAATCTTCTCAACTACGCAATGCAAGTAA